TGAAAGGATTTTGATAATTTCCACCCCCAAGGGGGTAAAATAGGGGATGAAAGTTTGTATGAGACTTTGTCAGTTTTAAATCGATCGGATTGAAATTTGACATGCAGATAGATGTTATCACATAGGCATCCGCTAAGAAAGGATTTTGATCATTTCCAACCTTAAGGGGGTAAAATAGGGGGTGAAACTTTATATGAAGCTTTGTCGGTTTTACACCGATGCAGACGAAATTCGGCATGCAGGTAGATGTTATGACGTAGGCATCCCCAAGTAAGGATTTTGATTATTTCCACCTCCAATGGGGTAATGTAGGGGATGAACGTTTGTATGAAGCTTTGTCATTCTTACACCGATCGAGTTGAAATTCGGCGTGCAGATGGATATTATGACGTAAAAGTCCCTTTAGAAAGGTTTTTGAACATTCTCACCCCAAAGTGGGTAAAATAGGGGGTGAAAGTTTGTATGATACTTTGCCAGTTTTAAATTGATCGGGCTGAAACTTTGCATGCATAAAGTTACTATGACATAGGTATCTCTTTAGAAAGGATTTTGATAAATTCCACCCCTAAGGGGATAAAATAGAGAATGAGAGTTTGTATAAATCGTCTTAGCCATTGAATTTAGATTCATTGAATCTTTTTGAATTACATTCGGTGAACGATGATTTGGGACCTAGGTAACGTTTGATAGTTTCTATCACAGATGTCCCACGGGAACGAGAACTATGCGTCAATGACCCAGGACTCTCTAACTCTTAACCACTGAACTTATTTTAGAGAGATTCGGTACAACAATAGTCGATAGAATAGTTTTTATTACTCAAACCTTACGTGATCGGGCACTGTACTGGTAAGATCCCTGCGGGATTATTTATTTATTGAAACTACGATAAATAATATCAAAATAGGTAAATCTTACTTGGGCACTGAATTGATTCTGATTAATTCTGTCAGAAGTCATTAATCTACGCGGACGAAGTCGTGGGCAACAGCTAGTGCTGTATAATAATGTTCGCATGTGGTTTAAATTAAAAAATTATGATTCCAATATGTAGAATTTTGAATGAAATATACAATACATTTTATACAGGAGTAAAATACTAAACTCCTTGACATTTGACACGAGCTTACCTGCAGGGAGTTGGTGCAGACGTTGAGGTCGTGGTGCATGAGCGTGAAGGAGTCGTACGGTTGTTGCTGGGCCCAGCCCGCGCCCTGCCCCGCGGACTCGGCCTCCTCGTGCGACACGTAGTAGAACTCGCATGCGCAGCGAGATACTATGCGTTGGAGCTGTTCAATAAAGAACTTTAGTTTTATTTTATACTAATAAAAAATAACAGATTTATTGGTTTTTTAGTCAAATGGACAACTTCTTTCAGTTAACTTTTATATCTCAAATATTGACATTAACATATTTTTTTATATCAGCCACATCATGCTTGAAATTATCGAATTTCTGTAGTATCATGAATCGAACTTCACAAATGAGGAGGGATTAGCCTCCTGGTGTCCCTACCTTAACTTTGACTATAGGCTCATTAAGTGCTAGCTAGTATTTTTTTTTCGATTTTAAAGATGGTTTTTGTCCATTCACGACAGAGAACTGAGAACAATTTTTAATATTTCGAGTTTGTTAGTCAAAAACTTAAGACTGATCAAAACATTTTGTAACATTTGTTTTAATTTCGACCGAAATTGAGTGAGTTGGTAGGTTCGTACCTGTGCGAGTCCAGTATCGGCACTGGGTCCCACGGTCCTCCCAATGACTCCCCCAGCAGAGTGTCCACTACCGACCAGCCTGGGCACGTCAGGCAGGGTACTGATCTCTGCGCTCTGCCACCGCTCCTCTATCTCCTCCACTGATACCCACTGGATGTTCTCTATAAAAAATAATGTTGTATTACACAAGATTCTTAAATTCGTATCAATGAATCTGGGTCTAGAAATCGGAATCTAATCTAATAGGTCAATCTGGTTGACCTATCCAAACTTGTTCCGAATAATAGATCCTAGATAGTCGGTTGTCCTAGATTTTTAGGCTTTATTTAAAGCAGTTTTATGTGGAGCAGGCAACAACCGTAAAAAGTGGCATTATTAAAAGTCTAAACATATATTGGGGTAGCAGAGCTAACTTGTTCTACCAAATTAATTTAAATTAGTTTTTTTTGTTAATACTATTCTTATTCTTCAACTAACTTCTGTCAGCGGCTTCGTCCGCGTTTGCTTGGTTGAAAGGTAGCCTAAGTGGTATATCAGATTATAATCTATTCCCGTTTCAATCTCCTTTCATCCACTCGTTTCAGCCGTTTTGACGTAAAATAGTAACAAACACACATGTACACACACATACATCCTCCCAAAGTCTAGCATTATAATATGCGATGTGTCGCACCGAGTAGCTGGTCCCTGTCGGCGGCGGAGACGGTGGCGTAGTACTGCATGGCGGAGAGCGCGCCGCTCCACGCCGCGGCGGCCGGCGCGCGCCGCACGCGCTGCCGCACGCCTCCGCCACCAGCGCCGCCAGCATGCCGCCGCCGCAGCCCGCCGCCGCGCCGCTCGACTGGGACATTTACATCACTTCATTACACACTACCTTCGAGTATAAAGGCCGCGCACAGGATCACGTACCCGCGCGTCTCGCAGCCCTTCAGCACCACCTGCGAGTTCACCAGCTCGACTGCGGACCAACACGGGCTTATGTACGGTCATACTTCATCAATTTGTGTAATTATAGAAACACACATTTATTTACTTTACTTAAAAAATTAAATGAGTATAGCTCTGTTACACTCGAAATTAGCTGGATATTATTGTAACATAATGACAGATGACTATATAATTATGACTTCTTATAACAAAAACATTGATGGAGATTTATGACTTGCAAAAAATATTATTATTTATTTGCTGAAAGGAAGACACATGACATATACATTCAGTATCGAAGTAAATACAAAACACTAGAGATGCTCACTAAGGCACGCAGTGTGCGCGTTGTCGTCGTCGAGTTCGTGCCTGAGATGCGTGGCGATGGGCGGCGGCGCGTCCGCCTCGGCGCCGCTGAGCTCGTCGCTGAAGACGACGGGCGCGGCGCCGCCCGCCTCCGCCACCAGCGCCGCCAGCATGCCGCCGCCGCAGCCCGCCGCCGCGCCGCTCGACTGGGACATTTACATCACTTCATTACACACTACCTTCGAGTATAAATATTTAGGTGACTGAAGCAAATAATGTTTTTTACTCGTACTAATAAAAATTGCTAAACGTAATTTGTTTTATCGGCACGATATATTTTCTTGCAAATTGGAACAAAATATTCCGCCTCAAGTTACGCACAGAACCTAGTTTTTTCGATGATTATTAGTAGTTTTCTACTTTTACTTTGAAGTACAATAAAAGAAACAAAAACTGATTGCATTAATACATCAGGCAAAATACCATACCTACATATTGCCAATGGAGCCTAAAATGACATCATAAGGAATATTACATATTTATTTAAATATACTAGTCAGCAACTTACTTGTGTATTAACAGGTGGTGGGGGGGAGATGACGTCAGCTTCCCGCTGGTGTTTGGGAGATGTGTTCGGTTGTTCTTCTTCCTTCAAAGCCTTGGTTGATAGGTTCTTCTTTAATTGCTGTAAAAGGGGTAACATACAAAATATCATCATGACAGCAGCTCAATATTTGTATATAAAATAAATAAATGTCAGATATACCTGAGTCTTAATATAGGTATCGATGAGTGCGAAGGCGAGGTCCCTGTTGAGCTTGGTCCAGGCCCCGCGCAGGTCGTGTACGGCGAGGCGGTGCGTGGGCGGCGCGCCCGTACATGCGGCCGTACAGGCGCCCGCCTCGCGCCCGTACGACACGCGCCGCACCGACAGGCAGTAGCACTTCTCCAGCACGCGGGCCGCCAGCCCCGGGTACTGCAGGGACAAATTAGGCAGTGTGGAAGTAATTTGACTTACAATTTGATGGTCGATTTTCAAATGTATTGTGGACAGCATATAATGCGACTAACAAGGCAGTCTAGCAAACAATTATTATTAATTCATAATTTTATGATTCGCTATTAAACAATTAGATAATAATAAGTACAATATTGAAGAATCATTGTAAATGGAATAATTTGGTCACTCATTTTCGTAACTTACATCTTTATTATATACTATTACAATTGCAATATCCATCACAAACTGCAAGTCAAAACCAAGTACTTAATCAACACCACAAACCTCATCACCATCCTTTTCATCAGCAGCCAGGGTCTTCAACCAGATCTCAGCGTCATTAAGATCACAGTTCATGTACACTGTAGTCCAGTTGGCGCGGGGCCTGCGGACCAGTCCATCATTGGTGGCCACCAGGGACAGGCGGTGTTTGGAGCCACACGTCACTCGGACTCCTAACATCTCTATACCACGCTGGAGCGATGATGACGACCAGTAGAAGACCTTTGAAGAGTAGAAAATATGGTCAACAAATGAAGCAATATTACTTCTTTTGTTGAAATTTAATCTTGATAGTAGACAGTGTATTAGTTCCTACATAGTACATACATTGACTTCGAATCTGCATTTTGGAACGAGCACCTAGCTTCACTAACTAACAGACTAATTTATTTTATATTAGTTAACGTTTCAAAAGTACCAAATTATGGAGAAGCTGATCTTAGAATTAAACTAATGATAATTTTTTTATGTTATTGCAATGCAAAAAAAGATTTTTTTTATTTTTCCTATCAAGATTCAATTTCCAATTTCCAGCTCACATATATAGGTAACATGAAATCCCAATTACCTGTAAATTGTGTAAAGTAACAGACACGCTGACATTTCTGTAGTGACGAGATAGTTGCGGCTTGCGCGGGCGCACGTTCTTGAAGATACGTCCGCGACGCGTCGGTCGGGTGATGCCTGACAGAATCAGTTTTAGACTCTCGAACCACCTTAGAATAGAAACAAAAGTACATTACATAATTAAATATTAGATACTGTTTCTAATAATGCAATATTCTCCAAGGGAGGAGCAACTCTTCACCAGTTAGTTGAATAGCCATGTCGTAGAAAGCAAGACACACCAGACGCGATTCAATAATTTTTATGGTGACACTAGAAATTTTCTAAACAGGCTACAAGTAATAATATTTTGTCTGGTCTGATGATCGGCCTCAGCCTCAGTGATCAATTACTAATGAGTCAACTATGCATATTTTACTGAATATATTGTTGTTATTTACCTGAGTGTACTTCCATATAGCAGTAGTACGGGTCCGTTTCCTTCTTTGTCCACAGGCTTCGTCTCCATGCTGAGGTGGAGATCCAGTCCTTGAGACCTGAACGCTCTGTACGAGTCGTGTTCCTATCAATATCACATGGTTTCAAGTTAATGTCTTATTGTACAGATGGTTTTTATTAGTAAATTTTCAAATTTAGACAACAACGATAAGGTTGAAAATAAGTAAGCAGAAATCACTGTTAAGCGTTTAAATTACCACCACTTGAACACGATAGACAGGTTAGGGCACCACCTAATATAATACCATTACACACTATACAGTAACTACTTTTTTATTAACACAACATTGTAAATTGGGACATATAGAAAGAAAACAAAAATGGAGGCAATAACATTTTTTTGAGGGGGGAAATCATCCAATGAGTTCTCCCGCCCGGGTGAGGCGAGAGGGAGTGACAGACTCTTACTGACTAAGAACCACCCCATCCCTACTCCTGCACTTCGAGCCGGAGCCCCGGCAACCCGTTAAGTCTTCCGCGGCGCGCACGGAACGCGATGCGCCGTACGCTCGGGCCTGGTTCTAGTCGGGCGGCGAGTCACCCGTGCTCGCCATCCGCAGGCCCGTAATAGTATTGATCTATCATTATTGGTAAGTAATTAGCGCTGCCTATGGACACCCGCAATACAAAGACGAGTTACAAGTCCTTAGAGCAATGTTGATTCTCTGGACATGTATACTTACAGCCAAATATCATCAGCTCCTTACCTGATTACTAGAATACTCGGGCAGCCTGGTGGGAGCGCAGGGCGCCACGGCGTGGTGGTCCCGGGGGTCGGCGACGCACTGCCAGCCTAGCTTCACGGACAGGCGCAGCGCGGGCACGCGCAGCACGCGGCAGTCGTCGTACTTGCTCGCCGTGCGCACGTACACGTCCAGGGTGCCGAGGAAGCCTAGTCTACCTAGGGGGGGAGATGTTGAACATGGTAAATGATCAGGACCGGGACTCTTCCTCTGAACTCCTCGCAAGTAGCAACACCGAGAAAATTTTGGGAAGGGGACGAATGTAAAATGATTGGTCTACTTTTGTTTTTTAAGGAAAATACGTTCAAAAAACAACAGCGATCATATTTAGGTACTCAAACCTTTAATCTTTAACAAAACGTATGTCACTGTTTACTACGTACTACTATATTATTTCGCATGGCATAATATACTAACATAGTCCCAAATAACCACTTACCATTAGTCCAATCCAACACCAAATCAGTCCAGGTAACCTCCATTTCCTCCGTGGTATTGTAAGGATCTAGCGACACATGTAAGAGACACGTGAACTTGGCGCAGTTGACAGTCAGCCGGCCGTGCATCAGTAGACGTACTTTGTCCCACCACGAGAGCGGTGCTGAGGGATCCAGAGACGGACGAGATACTTGATCGAAGGCTGGAATTGTTATAAATGATGTTATGAAGTATAGATAATTTATATATGGAATTTTGTCTCCCTAAACGCAAATCGTAAACCTTATTGCTTTCAATGACTGCACTGTTGGTGCGATGGCACGGGAACTGGCTGCCACGCAACGAGTCGCGGGAACAACTCTTTGTGTGATCCACATATTATTGTTTCGGATCTGGGGTGTGCTGTGTATGTGAACTCAATGCACCCGACACGATACAGGAGAAAATCTAGTGCGGGGCAACGTTTTTTTTTAATAAAATAAGAATGAAAGTAAAAGACAAACTGACCAAACTTGATGGGCTAACCCCATCAAATATAAAAAAGATATAAACTCAATTCTCATGTCCAATAAGTGTTTTTGTATTAAGGCATCGTTACACATCACATCCTTCAGCAAAAATTGCGAAGACAATGTTCTCTGTTCTGTAGGAAGTATGTTATTAAATAATTAGCCATGGCGTTGACTATAATCAACTAGTAGCAGTCTTTGCATGCCACACATCCTTGACTATAAGAAATCAACAGTTATAATGTGAGAAATGTATTCCGTTAACCGGTAATTTAATTAATATTACAAGTCCTATTATTAAGTAGTAACTGCTTCTGCTAGGGTTGCGTTATGCGGTCCGGATAAAACTTTCAGATTAATATCGTTACATGGGATTAATGATTTTATACATATACATCACGCCTTTTATCCCCGAAGGGACAGGCAGAGATCCACATTACCGCACTTAATGTCACTGTACAATGTAACACCCACTTTTCACTATTTATGTTATGAGTCCCATGTAATCGGGGGTGAACTTATTGCCATAAACCGGGCACAATTTCAATCTCCGTGTTACTACTGATAATATTATATAAAAAAACCAATAATACTTTGCCCGACCCGTTGTCCGGCAGTCGCACTTGCGACCACTCGGCCAACGAAGCAGTAATTTTATAGTTTCCACAAGTTATGTTGCTGGATACGTACACAAGTTGCAATGAGCTATAACAGGTTCCCAGCAGGGTCCGAAGGCATAGCTGTACTCAGCCATCTCGCAGCACAGGTCGTAGTACCACTTGAGCGGCATCATACTGCGCTCCAACTCCTGCTCGCCCCACGGCGCGCCCTGATCTATCGTTACTGTACGCACGGCTGTGGAAGAAGATATTGCGATAGTGTTTATATGTATGATAGAAGAAACATCATTTTATGCGCATCAAACAATAGGGACAAAATAAGAAATTCACTTAAGTAAAATTTATTCATTCGGTTTTCGACTTAATTTCAATACAATAAAGTTGAAGATGTAATAGAGATATTTGATAGAAAAGGATAGGTTGACCTTCTGGCCACCTAACCATAACCTAATTTATTTCATGATGGAAAATGTTCTCTAAGGAGAACGGAGAGTACGATCCGATAGTGTATTGAATCATAATCTTTAACTTTTTTTATAAATCATCGTAGACAAAATTTGAATGTCACATAAAATGAAGTCAAAATTATTATTTCAATCAGACAAGGAAGGCACTTTTGATGGATGAAAGGAAGCTACTTGCTTATTCCAATGTGTAGATTCCTATGGAGAAGAACGAGCAAGAAACTCCATATTAATCTTTTTCAAACAGGTTCACAATACAATTCTTTAGTTACATAGTTTTGCTGTTTGGATTGTGCGAGAACAATGTAACACCAAAATTCAGTAAAAGAGATCGAAAAAGGAAATAACGTTAAGAACAATAAAATATTACAGGACTATGTCTGTCTGCTCCGTCTGGAGTCTGGAATCATATGTTCAGCAGACGTGTACTGGCTGCTATATTGAATTGTAATATCACTAGATGAAATCGTATTTACAATAAAATCATCTCCTATATTATTATTGATTTCATATATTTTATAATCACTAAGCGTGACGTCCTTGGCATACAACAATCAAATATTTCGGCTCATAACTTGCACTATTATTTTAGGTTCAGTAACACTATTGTAACATAATAATACATATAATAAAACAGTAGGGTTGTGGACTCAATTAAAATATTATAATACCCTTTTTAACACAATTCAACATTAATCCATTAAATGTCATTAAACAAGACAAAGTGGTAAGGTTGTAAGGTCGTGGTGACCCGGAGGTTTAAGACACCCGCTTCTCATGCATAAGAGTGCGGGTTCGAAAACAACGGCAAGTACCAATGTGACTTTTTCCAAGTTATATGTACTTTCTAAGATTATTTAGACAACACTGACAAATTAAGTAAAAACGCGGGTTACTTGCGTGAATATACTGAGAAAAGCTCTACTAGTTTCGAACCACAGAGGGGTTCTTCCTGATGAGCAGTGCGCGGTCGCGGCGACGTCGCCTGTATATTCACGTGAGTAACCCGCGTTTTTACTTAATTTAGTATGTCTCACGATAGTTATTATAAAAACATAACACTGACAAACGGTGAAAGAAAACATCTGGGCTTATAATTTCGAATTAAAAGTTTGAAATTGCCAATCAGCATTGAGCAAGCGTGGTGATTAATACTCAAACCTTCAAGTGTGAAAAGATGCCTTTGGTCAGCATTGGCCACTTATAGACTGGAGTGATATGTGATGCAAAATCAAGTCCAACCATACTTTTTATTCAATTATTTCTTACGCCATTACTTTTTCATTCGCAAATACGGTCAAACCGGAAGAATCCAAAATACTTTATGCGTAGAATCAAAGAGAGTCATACTCAAATTTAAAATACGCCCAAATAGATTCAATAATAAATTCATCAAAAAAATCAAAACAAACTGCGATTATTGCATCAATCACAAATAAGTCATCATTCATTAGCCAAGTCTAGCGGTAAAACATAATGGATCAATATATTAAGGAATGCAATTAAATATCACCTTGGCTGCATTTTCACCACTGTGCATATATGTATGTATGTATAAGATGATATAACACATACAATAACATATCAGTATTAGTTAGTTATTGTGCTAAACAATACTTCCAACATGTTCATTAAGGTAAATTATAATATTTCATTTTATTAGGAGATATTTTCCAAAACATGTGTATTACATTTCAAATTCATTCATTCAAATACATTTTTGAAAGAACGCCTTAAAAAGTAAATAAATATCATTAATAATAATAAGTATTACTTTTATTTCAAGGAAAATTACTTAGGGTCTGTGCAATTTCTTTATTTTTTTAATTTTTAAGTGTGGGAGAGCCATGCTTCCGCGAATGGGCCGGCTCAACCGGAGTGATACCACGGCCTCACAGAAAACCGACGTGAAACAACGCTTGCGTTGTGTTTCGTCGTGTGAGTGAGGTTACGGGAGGCTCAATTACGGGGGGGGCTTCCCCAATCTCTCCAATCCCTGAATCCCTGAATCCCCAACAATCCTCAAATATCTGATTCCCAAAAGGCCGGTAAAGCACTTGTGTAACGCCTCTTAGTGTTCCAGGTGTCCATGGGCGATTGCTTACCATCAGATGATCCTTCTCGTCGTTTACCGGATAATCTCATTAAAAAAATATATAGTACACCAATTTTAATCCAATCAACGAGAACAGAACCTGACATGTGAACTATTTAGTCACACAATTATTCAACTGAGTACTAATCATAATTTCTATACACCAACGCTCTTGTGTGATCCTTTTCCATAAGACCCATTACCCGGTCATTGACCCCGCACCTTCAAACACCCATTACATAGGTCACGTCTATCCTTTTACTAACAGGCCTGTACAAAAATTGATAATTCTAATCCTTATTTGAATATACTGACAGTTTGATAGGTGTTTTATGCATTCATATGTGTTTTTGTTTAAATAGCGCTTACTGTTACATATCCTAGTTTAAACTTATACTATTATACATATATTATCACCAGCTTTTACCCGCGGCTTCGCACGCGTGACAAAAAGTAGCCTATGTGACATATACCATTACACACAGCGCCATCTATACCAATACTTTTGTTTTCCCTCGGGAATATCAAATTTTTTCGGGATAAAAAGTACCCTATTTAATCCAGACTTCTAACTTTACTGCTGCAAAATTTCAAAGCAATCGGTTCAGTAATTACGGCGTGAAAGCGGAACAAACAAACAAACAAACTCACTTTCCGATTTATAATATTAGTAAGGATATACACGTGTCAACTGTATTACAGGTCATTGTCTTCCTGTTTTCTATTCTACTCTAATATTTAATAATTACTTGTAGATCTGTTTGCCAGTCGGCAAAGGCCTCCTCCAACCTTTTCCATTCTCTTCTACCTCTATTTTGGGCCACCGTATAGGTTTCTCGTACTATTTGCCTGATGTCGTCATCCCACCTTTTCTGTGGTCTACCTCTTTTTCTTTTTCTTTCTCTAGGGTACCATCGTGGGACAATTTTGCTCGATTTCTCTTCGCCTCTTATCATATGCCCTGCCCATTGCCGTTCAAGTCTCCTGATTAAGTCTTTCGATTACTCATACCGTAAAACAAACTAGTACTAAGGCCGAGGCTTTTAAGGCCTTCTCTTTTATTACTAGATTAACAAACAACAACAAGACTTCATCTAATCCCTAAATTCGTTTCCAATATCTTTATATATATAATTCTGCTGTACGTGTGTATTTCATTGAACTCCTTCTAAACGGTTTGACCGATTTAAATGAATTTTTCTGAACCTACGCATTTGAGTGGCGCCCTGAATGGTTTAGATTCACAAATCAGCCCGGTAGATGGCGCTGTAGTCGGTAGCTAGGTTAGTTATCCTTAACGGCTGAACTAATTTGAATGAATTTTTGTTTATACATTCAAGTGGATATGCAGGACAACGTCTGTCGGGTCCGCTAGTAATTGTATATATAAATCATAATTTTACTCTTTACTTTGCAGGTGTTATCTCTATTATTAATTGCTGTAGCTGTTTCTGGCCATTGTGCTTGCAATAACAAGCACATTCCACATGGAGACAATAAAATACCCAATCAACATGGACTAATGCCTTATCAGTACGGACAAATGCATAATCAACATGGATTAATGCAAAATCAATATGGACATGTGCCTATTCAGCACGGACAAATGCATAACCAGTATGGTCTAATGCATAATCAGCGTGGGCAAATGGATAACCAGCGTGGGCAAATGCAAAACCAGCGTGGGCAAATGGATAACCATCGTTGGCAAATGGATAACCAACGTGGGCCAATGCAATACCAGCGTGGGCAAATGGATAACCAACGTGGGCTAATGCAAAACCAGCGTGGGCCAATGCATTCCCAGCGTGGGCCAATGCCTAACCAGCTTGGGCTAATGCAAAACCAGCGTGGGCCAATGCATAACCAGCTTGGACAAATGTATAACCAGCGTGGGCCAATGCATACTCAACATGCAAATAAGCAACCGCATAACCCTTATGTGAGTATCAACAAGTTTACAAAAAATAATGTAGGCAGAGTGGTAAAGGAAAAGTAATTCAAGGTTTGGAAACCACAATACAGAGTCCTGTCTGGCTGTCCAAGCTAGTCAGCTTCACTGACGGACAGACTGACAGACACTATTATATATTTTGTATTTGTTGACATTTCAAAATACCAAATTTTGGTTCAATTGAAATAAATGCTTTGACAGACGTTGACTTTGAGGAAATATTTCTAGTGTAGTTCAAACCACCTCCTGGTACCCAGTTGGATTGCGGATCAGACCTACGACTTAAAACCACCCTCTATCGACGAGTATGCATCAAGAGATTTATGAATGTAGATGAAGCGAAAGAACTATGTTAAAGTATAATATCTATCGTAAGACCATACTAAATTAACTAAAAATCGCGGGTAAATCACATAAAAATACTGCAGCCGCTGCTCATGAGGAAGAGTCTCTCTGCAGCTCGAAACTACCTCGTGTGTTCATAAGTTTTGAGACAAATTAAAAGTTGCATATCTTTTTAAATAATAAACTTATATTTATAAAAACAATAACAAACATTAAGTAGATAGTAAGTAAAAATTAAATTTAATTATTATTCAAAATGACCACCCCTGTTTTTAATACATGCCCTTAGACGATTTGGCCAGTCATCAATGGCGGCACGAATCTTTTCCAGAGGAATTCGCTTCGCTTCTCGGACAAGAGCTCGCTTAAGTGACTCCAAGTTTGGGTGGGACTTTCGGCAGGCTCTGAGCTCTAATTCGGTCCATAGAGAATAATCCAGCGGGTTGAGGTCGGGGCTGGAGGAGGGCCATTCGTTCGCCGCAATGAAGGCCGGCACATTTTCCTTCAGCCAAGCTTGGGTGGTTTTAGCCTTATGGGATGGCGCCGAGTCTTGCTGGAAAACCCAATACTTGTTATGGAATAGGGTATTAGACAGGGGTTTCACAACAGTCTCTAGAATGTCACTTTGATAATTTTTGGCTTTCACCTTGACGCCTTGTTGGCAGAAATGAAGCTGAGTGACACCTTCGTACGAAACTCCCCACCATACCATGACACTAGCCGGATGATGAGTACGCGAGACATTCCGTGCTGAAGGTGGGACATCCTTGCTACTTTTGGCATACACTTTATTGTTTTGTCGATTGAACTTTTCTTCGACGGTAAAGATTTTCTCGTCGGTGAAGAGTATCTTCCTCGCATCGTGTCTCCTAAGCAGTATTGGACAACGTTCGCGTCGCAATTGACGAAGGCGATCGTTTAAAAAGTGTACTTTTCTACGGCTATACGCCTTAACCTTGAGATCATATTTCAGTATTCTGTTGACTGAAACGCGCGAAATATTGGTCTGCAGAGCGAGTTTCTTCTGAGTGCGACATGGATTTCGGCGAAGTCGCTCTCGGATGATTTTAATGTTCGCAGGCGTCCTCACAGAGCGTGGACGACCACTTCTTTGCCGATCATGTAAAGAACTTGTCTCCTGGTATCGTTTAATAGTGTAATACACGAAGTTACAGCTCACACCAAAACTTTTCAGTTCTCAGAAAATGTCCATAGGTTTTCTTCCCACCTTAAATAATGAAATGACGGTCGCACGTAATTCTTTTGTTCCCTCCATTACGAGAAAATTTAAATAAAATAATCCGAAATCATAGATATTAAAAGTTAACATTCCAAATTCAAAATTAGAAAAAGAAATATACAGCAGCCAGTAATTTTTATTTTATTTTTATAAGCAAAAAGTTTGTCTCAAAACTTATGAACACACGAGGTAGTAGAGCTTTTTTCAATATTTTTACGTAAGTTACCCGCGATTTTTAGTTAAGTGTGTTAAAATCGTGTGATTTGACGTTCTATTTTCATTGCCTACCCAAATGGGAGACAAGCATAACGATATGTAATATGTATGTATGGAATTAAAACCGATGACAATTTGCAGGCCAACTACAGACTGGGGTGGTTGCTAAAGAACATGAACCATAAGCCGGTGCATGAGCATCAAAACGAAGGGCCCTCCTTGTACCAACCTTATGGTTTTTACAGGCATTCAGGTTATGAACACTATGATAACCGTTATAATCATAACAGGTAAGGAACTTGTTGTTTTTTAATGTCCATATAAATCTTATATTCTTATACTATTATAAAAAGCGGAAGAGTTTGTTTCTTTGTTTGAACGCGCTAATCTCCGTAACTACAAGTCTGATTTGAATAATTATATTTGTATTGGATAGCGCATTTATCGAGGATGGCTATAGGCTATAAAACATCACTCTACGACCAACAGGAGCTGATCAGAGCGTGTCAAACCGCGCGAAGCTAGTATTGTATAGACACCACTGACATACTGTGGATAACATCGTGTGGAAATCTGGACTTACAATTTCTAATTATAAGTTTGAAATCGCCACAGCCCCTTGAGCAGGCTTGGTCATTAATGCTCAAACCTTCTCCCGGTGAGAAGTGTCCGTGTCCTTTGTCCAATAATGGGGACTTATAGGCCGATTATGTGACGTAAAATCTTCCCCAACTATTCAGATGTCATTAACTTTTCTTTTGAAGTCTTTCTACGCCATTCTTATTCACAAATACCACTTTAAGAATAAAAGTAAGTTCTTCATCTTTTGGTTCCACTAATCGTCATTAATTTTCTTTTTCCGCAGGTACTATGCACAAGTGGAAAACAGGACTCCTGTGATGATGCCTAATCATAATTTACGATATTAAAATAATAAATTATTGTTTGGAGAAGAACAAGCAAGAAATCTCATGGATCTTCTTCAGTATTATTTGAAGTCAAATATTGACAAATAGAAATTAGTCGTAGGTAGACTAATTTTTTCAGCAAAACAAGTTTTTTTTTAATGTTCGACATAGTTATAATTTGTTAGTTGTCTTATTCATCGACTTTACCGGATTCATCGATTACCGATTCTATATCGAATTACCGAAAAAGTCGAGGGAAAAGACCCTAGTGAAGTCGGAGTGGCATGCTAGTTTATTATAGCAATGGAATCGCTTCGAAGCGATTGGCACTTGTCTAGATATCTATAGTGGCCCTTTTCATCCAATCACCCCTAAACTGTCACCTAACTAAAAGTTACTTAGCGGGACGTAGCACTTAGACTAACGTCTTACTTGGACTGTTAGTTATAGGTTGGTGTAAACAAAAAAGATGTTAAATGTCACCTATCTTAGCTTACATTGTGTCTCGCGTGGATTCACGTTTAGGCACACAATGAGTTAAGTTTGTGCCTAACGTCTCCTACAACCGACTCTAGTATATTTGTTTGTTTAATTACTTTACCTACTTTTAGTAATCTACTTGAATGTGATGTAAATAAAACTATTGTTTTAGATGCTTATGTTTTTTTTGTTTTCTCTCAAAAGTAGTTCAGTTAAAAACTTATCGAATAATAAAATACAGCTAAGTGACATTCTCATTACTTTCTGAAATCTAGACTACATCAGTAGGCTGCGCGACATCACTGCGACCGGGCCCGCTGCTCATGAGGAAGAACTCTGTGGTTCGAAACTAGTAGAGCTTTCCTCAGTATATTTACGTGAGAAACCCTCGATTTTTAGTTAACTGACTACACCATCATTCAAAAACAAACTACAAATAAATGTTTGCGCAACTTTGCGCATTTATCTGTAACTTTGCGCAATTCACTTGTGTATTCGATTTTCTTACCTCGAGGTGGAGCTTGTTCCTCTGCAGCCAGTAGGGTACCCCACATCTTCAGCTCGCTCATACTCAGCAGCGGCTGAGGGAAGTCCCTCAGTAACAACTGCCACTGAGAGCAACTCATGTTGATACTTCGACACCAGAGCGTTGTGAATTCGATGCCGTCTTCTGGCCATGGACTGTGGAGATGAACTTGTGTTACTTCAGCTTGTACATGTGAAGAGGTCGTAACTAAAACTGCAGTGATGGCTAAGCGACCAAATGCTGCTTAAGAGCATTATTCAATATCTGGGTCGTACATTTTTCATTAGATATTTTCATTCAAAAAACATACTTCAGAAAGTCAATATTTTTTTGGTTATCAGCACAGCAACTGACACTAGTTCCTCGTTTTGTAAAGTCCCTCGAGACAAGAACTTTGAGATAACTCATTTTTAAACAATTTCAGAATGCGACTACTTTCAAAACCTCAGATCGAAAGTTATAACAACCGCATTACTAACCTATCATGATCAATCTCCCTAAGTCTCGCTTGCGCATTCTGCGTTCCATGTATGGTAGGATCAGCTAGTGCCACCAGTGAGAACCTCGACAGACAACACGCGACGAGGCGGGTGCGGGGCGGGGGCGCGGCGCGACACCGTTGTACGTAGATCTGGGCGTCCTTCTGACGTAACGCGGAGTATAACTCTTCTACTTTACCCGCTGGTAGAAACAGGTGGGGCTTACATAGTTCTTGTACCTGTGTAGAAAGAAGGTATAAACTTTTGAACTCTACGGCTACGATTGAAAAGGTGTGCAGTCAGCGAAGTTGTTACACAGACAGCTGTTATCGTTTAACCTACTGCTTTTTAACGAAATTTTGTACCTATTTTATATTGCTCAACTAATTTATAGCCATATGCGCCATAAAATATGAACGAAATTTAAACTGTCAAACACCAAGCGGTCACCGGTGACCGCAACCTATTGTTCTATAATTGTGTCTACAAAACCGGTACTCGACGAGTTAAAAAGTATTAACCAAGTTGCCATATAGATATTAAACCACACACAGCATTTCGGATATTTAAAAGAAGTCTTCTAGAGTACCTTAGCATCGAGCATGGTGCGTCGTTTCTGACTTTCCTTGTACTCGTCCTCCAGCAGCTCGTAGTTGTCTCGCAGCTTCACCTCGAACGGATCATCGCTCATCTCTATCAGAAGCTCTTCAATCTAGATAATGTTCAACGTTTTTATGATTAATGCTACAGAAAACCTAAGTTTTATACAACATGCGGCTGACGAAAATATGACTTACTAGCGGCCCGTCCCGGCTTCGCACGGGGGGACTTAAGACTTTTTACATAGTTTTACGTTTTATTTATATTTATTCTCAGTTTATTATTTTTGAAATAGTAGGTAAGTACTTACCTAATAGGTATCTTTTGGATGAATTAATAGTCTTAATGTAACCGATTGAACAATTCAAAAGTTATCTAGAGCAAACTTTTATAAGGATTGAACCATTCATTAAAACGATTGTTATGGGTAAACTATAAAAGGTAGACATATGCTCTCGCGGACTTTTTTAAAAATAATGTTAAGATGAACAATTCATCTATAAAGCATTGTTGTATAACTTTAACTATATGCTCAGCGCACGCCACGGAAGGCCTCAGAAACGATACTTTTCCCCCGTTTTTAAAACATTTTTGGTTACTGCTCCACAACTATAGGACCTAGCGTGATATTATATAGCCTATGTTACTTCTGAATAATGCAGCTTTCTAATGGTGAAAAAATTATTGCAATCGGTCCAGTAGTTTTTGAGTTTATTCATTACAAACATACAAAAATACAAAAATACAAATCTTTCCTCTTTATAATATTAGTATAGATTGTTGTAACAATAAAGTTGAAATTTCAATGACCAAAATCTTCAAATACGATGTACTTTTTAATATTATTTTGGAACACACTGAAGCAAGTACTTTTAGTTTAACTTAACCTCAGGAAATCATACCTTAATATGCAGATCACTGGGTAGTGGACTATCAACAGTGAAGGGTTTCTTCTTGATGCCGTGCACCAACTTGATCCACTTGAAGAGAGACACGAAGTCACCCTGCACGGCCTCCGCGAACCGATGCTTGTAGGGAAACACCACGCGGACTGAATCTACTGTTACCAACCTGTTGGGAAATTAAACTGTCAAACACCGCGGGGACACCGGTGACCGCAACCTATTGTTCTATAATTGTGTCTATAATGACGGTACTCGACGAGTTAATTAGGTATGCATAATTATTTGTCTGGAAATGGTAGATTATGAGTAGTTGAGGTTCCAGTTTAGTGGCGTGGCTGAGATAAGCTTAATTGAATACGTAAATGGAGTGACGTCACGGACGCGGCGAACCGCTGATCGGTGTGTGCGACAAGCGAGTAAATAAAATATAAACAAAGACCACAGTGTAAATCTTTATTGCTAAAAATATAGCTAACAGTACAATAAAGTGCGCCTATAGTTATTAAGTGAAAGTGTTCAGTGAATACAAAATAAACCAAAAACTAAATAATTGATCGGAACTTTCATCTTTGAACCACCCTCAACTTAAAATAATAATAAATAAAAGACGTAACGGCTAAATAAATGTCAATAACTTTAAGCGATAACAGTGCTTAAGTGTAAAACAGTCTAGTTAATATAGCTGTTACAAAGTTCTGAGTCTAAATAGAGTGTGCCAAGTGTAGATACTGAGTACCTGGAGTGCATTTTGTATAAAGCGACATCTTGACATTAAGCGGAACAACTGTGTTAAAAATATCTGATCGTTTAACATGCCTACAGCAAAGTGTGGTGGTTGTGCGAAATTTTTGTCGCCATTAGACGCTGCCAAATGCAATCACTGTAATGGTCTTTACCACCGTGCTTGTGTTTGCCTCCCGAGCACTGGTTACATTAAACCTGCGTGGCGCTGCCCTGAGTGTAGCAAAAACCAGGTGAGAGACAATAAGGCAGATACACCAGTTCGGACCAGGACTGCCCAGGTTGAAGAGCACTTAAATCCTGAAGAACTTATGGAGACCAGCACAATGAGCTGCACGACCCTGGACGCTACCAACCCTTTATCTCCGGATTTAGCTGACGAACTGCGGCTATTTAAGGAGGAACTACGAAAAGAATTTCGCCTGATGCATCGGGAGCTCCAGCAGCTGCGCACGGAAATGGCGCAACTCAAAGAGTCTGTTAGGACATCTGACGAGCGTATGGAGAGCTTGGAGGTGCGTGTGGGGTCCCTCGAGCAAAGGCTGGAGCAACAAGTCCTGCCGGAGAAGGGTTCATTAGAGAACACCATTGACGAGCTGAGGTGTCAATTGAACGACCGAGATCAAGAGCTATTAGTCAACGATATCGAGATCTCAGGAATCCCTGAAAGCAGGGACGAGAGCACCCTCCACCTGATTAAGATTCTCGGAACAAAGCTCGGCGTCAACATCGATGAGAAAGACGTCGTTCACGTTGAGCGCGTTGGTTCCACGCACCGAAACCGAATCACCAACACCATCTCTGCCGACCCCAGTGCGCAGCGGCCGCGTTGTATATCGGTTCGATTCGCGAGGCGATCTACGCGTGACTCATTGCTGCGCGCGGCCCGAGTGCGGCGCGGTCTGAGTACACATGACCTCGATGTGAACGGGCAAGCGCACCGTATCTACATAAATGAGCGGCTTACGCGAACGAACCGCCAACTATTTTACCTCGCTAGACAGGCGGGGACTCGGAGAAATTGGAGGTATGTCTGGACGAGGGATGGGAGAATCTTGGCACGCAAAGAGGATGGCCTAAAGGCCGAGCGCGTCCGATGTGAGGCCGATATAAGCAGGATTTTTGGTTAGGGACCTGTTTGTTCTGTTTGCAAACATGTGTTACAATGTAGTCATAAGTCACTTGTCTTACACTAATTGTACTGTTATTGTGTTGTCTATGTATAGGGCAGTAGAAACGTTTTCAATGATTGGTTGTGGATCTTTTTTACGGTTGTGTGTGTGTCTTTATCAAGTTATGCACAAACTGGATGATATAATTTTGTTCTTACTATTTGTTTATTTGAAGGTTATTGTACTTTTTATTACCTGTTTAAAAATTGATTACACTTTTTTGATCCATGTGGGTATATACCTCTACAAAAATTGTTACTGTCTGTTATGTTTTGCATCGGCATGTGTCATGACGCTTACCAGTGGCGCAAACGTAAACCAATATTATAGCACTACACATAGATACCTACACTTAACTTTTCCTGCATTATTTATAAGTATATTTATATCTGTACATGTATCACGACTCGTTTGTTTGTTTCTCCTCATTTTTTACACTAAGCATATTATTACAATGTTTACTATTGTTAGACAGCGACAAATACAAACACTACTATTTTATCAAACTATTAAATATACAAAACATAATATACTTGTTCTTTTATTACAATGATGACAACTATAAGAAATAAGTTTTTTAAAGTTGGTTTTTTTAATGCTGGGTCACTGGGTACGGGTCATGATGACTTAATTGGGGCACTAGCCAGGCATTGTTTTGATGTGGTGGCTATTAACGAAACTTGGTTGCGACCTGGACAGGAGGGAAGGGCTCCTGTGGTGCCAGGCTATCGTCTACGTCACACGCCGCGGCCTATGAGTGTGCGCTCGGGCCGCGGTGGTGGGGTTGCTTTTTATCTTCGCCGGGGATTAAGCGCGCGTATTTGTACTGCGGTGGTTGATCCCATGTTCGAATCAGTTGAACAAATGTGGCTGACACTGACATTGAACGGGAAAAAAATCGCCGTAGGTACGGCCTATCGACCGCCTTGGCTTGACCTGGTCCTATTTTTGGACGCCATAACGGAATCTATCAGTTCACTGGGAGACTGCGACCACTACATACTACTTGGCGATTTTAATGTTAATTTACTGGACACTGTTGGCATAAAGACGAATAAAATTAACGAATTTCTTAATTGTCTCAATCTCACGCAACTGGTTTCCAGTCCCACGCATTTCACATCATCCAGCGAAACTCTCATCGACCTTCTGTGCTCGGATATGATGGCAAGGTTTGTATCCGTGGAACCACTTGGCTCTCTTTATGGCCATTCCATTATAGTGGGTGAATTTCATATTAGGCGAGATAAATTCAAACCATACATAATAAAATATCGGCCTCTTAAAGATGTTTGCATAGATGGGTTGGGGAAGGATTTATCACTTTCAGGCTTGGAGTACATTTCCTTATTAGACAATGTTGATGACATGGTTCATTTCTTTAACACTCACATGATCGCCCTGTTTGATGCTCACGCGCCGGTAAGGACTTGCACGATTAAGGAGAAATCATATCCGTGGATTACTGATACCATAAAACTTATGATGCGTTTACGTGACGATGCACTAAGTGCTTGTAGGAAAAATAAAACAGAGTCTAAAATTAAATACTATAAGGAACTAAAGCGCCTAGTGATTAAGTCATTGCATAGTGAAAAAGTTGCGTACTTCAAACATAATATAAATAATAAAATTAAAAACCCAAAATTATTATGGAAAAATTTGAAATCTACTTTGTTGCCGTTCAAAACTATTCAAGATCTACCGTCTCAATTTACAAATCCTGACCAAATTAACAAAAACTTTTTGATGGTGCCTGGTAACCTTACAGCCAACGAGTCACTGATGACGTTTTATGAGAAAAATAAATACGGTGAAGCTACTTTCTCTATCAGTCCAGTAGAACCGAATGTCGTCTCACGAATTGCCACAAATCTTAAGAGCAACGCTGAGGGCCACGACAATATCACTTTGGACATGATAAATATGACACTACCGCACTCATTAAACGTTATAACTCAAATAATTAACTGTTCCATTGAAACTTCAACGGTTCCCGAGCAATGGAAAATTGCTTCAGTTAGGCCATTACCGAAAAATTTAAACCCAACTGAATTGAAAGATCTACGTCCTATTAGCATTTTGCCGTGTTTGTCCAAGCTATTGGAGAAAGTCGTTAGTCAACAGTTGATTCAATTTTTGGAACAGAATAGTATTCTACCTGACTTACAATCTGGGTTTAGGAGGCAACGCAGTACGTCTACTGCTTTGCTGGACGTTACGGATAATATTCTGGTAGCTCAGGATCAGGGAATGTGTACAGTGCTTGTCTTGCTGGATTTTTCCCGCGCCTTTGACGCAATAAATATTCCCCTATTATTGTCCAAATTGAGTTATTACGGTTTTGCGCCTAGTGCCGTGCAGTGGTTCCGCAGCTACCTCACGAATAGGAAGCAATTTGTCGATTTGCATCTGAGTGATGGCACTACTCTTAGATCATCCTATATGACAGTAGAGAGAGGAGTGCCTCAGGGCTCCATCTTGGGTCCGATTATTTTTATTCTCTATTGTGCAGATATAATTAAATGCATCCATAAATGTAAATACCACATATACGCCGATGATGTCCAGGTTTACATATCTTTCCGTCCAGATGAGTACCATGATGCCATTAAGGATCTTAACGATGATCTACACAGAATTGCCACCTGGTCTGAGGAGCACTGCTTGTCATTGAATCCAACAAAAACCAAATATTTGGTATTTGGCTCAAGACAACAGCTTGCAAAGTTACCTCCATCATTTGACCTGAGATTAATGGGCGAGCAAATTGAGCGAGTGTATGAGGCAAAAAATTTGGGGTTGGTAATGGATAAAGACTTGCGTTTTGAGAGACATGTGGCAGAGTCTGTTAGAAATTGTTTCTATCGCCTGAAGGTCTTATACAGAATGCGACCGTACCTGTCAGTGGCATTACGGGAGCGGCTGATAGAGACCTTAGTTCTTTCTAGGTTAAACTACGTAGACACGGTGTATGGTCCACGCCTGTTAGCACGTACAGATCGGCTCATTCAAAGGGTCCAAAATGCTTGCGCTCGTTTCTGTTACAACATTCCTTGCAGAACCCATGTAACACCATATCTGAACGAACATTTCATATTAAAAATGAAATCCAGACGCAAGCTGCATCTGGCCTGCCTTTTATTTGGTGTAGTTAAATACCAGAAACCGGACTACTTATTCCAAAAATTAAAATGGCTTACGGGCCGGCGGGAATGTGAAAGAAGGCAATGTTCACAGCAACTTACGACCAAGTCATATGGTACAGCCGCTTTCAGGGGCAGCTTTCGCTATGCGGCTTCCAAAGTGTGGAATAACCTCCCACCACCTATTAGAGGAACAAATTCAATGGGTGCATTTAGAAGACGCTTGCGACAATACCTCATCGATACACAGCGAAGGCTTGATATGGTGGTGCAAAATACCTCAATTATATAAGTAATGTACCCGTGCATTCTGTTCATACACACGCAATATAATTTTTATCATATTTAATAAATCTTTTTTGGCTAATTACTATACCCTATTATTATATGTATGTATGTATTATGGTATAACTATATTAATTACTTAATAATTTTATAATACACTTCACACGCTACTCTGCATTTACTGCTTTACGTCCGTTGCGTCACAGCCACAGGTTCAGTTGAAAACCAGCGTCAGGCACTAGATGTCTGGCATTTATGCTGAACTGGTCCTTTTTTGGTGCAGCCGTCAGGCACATGATTATTGTTGGTATATTTAACTTTTTAAATTTTGTATATACCTACCTACATCTGTTTATGTTTTTTTTTTTTTAATTTTTCTATTTCACTCCTAATTTTTTGTTTGCATTGTATTTATTGTATTGTGTTTGTGCCTGGTGTTGTACCAAATAAATTATTTTTCTTTCTTTCTTTCTTTCTTTAAATAGGTATCAAAATCCAACAGAAGATGAACACTACACTTACTGCTATTTTCTAGTCAAAGTCAAAGTATTTATATCAATTAAACCATAATTTGATACTTTTGAAACGTCAACAAATACAAAATAAATAATAGTCGGTCAGTCAGTCCGTCAGTGAAGCTAGGTGGAAACTATGCTTCAGAAGCTTACTAGAAAATTGGCTGTCTGGACAACAAGCCAGTTTTTGTCCTCTTCGGTCCAATGAGATACTTCAACAGAGTATAACAAAATAATATTTAAGTACTCATCTATTGTCGACAACTCATGTTATTTTCTATAAAATGGCTGTCAAAACGTCAATGTAAACTTACCAAACCTTATTCCAAGTAAGCGCGAACCCTTCGTTGGCCTTCCTCTCAACCCTGACCTCAAGGTCATCAGCCACTCGTTCCTGGGAGTATCCTTCCACCATGATGACCTCGTCTCCATTGAGGATCATGTTCAGCTTGCTCCATACGATAGACAGGCCTATCTCGTGGTCGTAGGCTATTGTCATGTCATCTAGAAAGTTAAAAATGAGGGTGTAGTCCAGTATTTTATAATGAACCCCGTCTTACGTAATAAGTAAGGAGGACTGGTTTTATAAATTGGCTTCTCTCAATTTGTAACCAAACCAAATTAGAGATACTGCTAGTTGTCTGTACATAAATATTTCCAGTCAAAAAATAACTAATCATTTTATGAGGAAGAGTCCCTCTGCAACTCGAAACTAGTAAAGCTTTTGTCGGTATATTTACGCGAGTGACTCGTAATTTTTAGTTAAGAAGAAAGAAGAAGAAAGAAAAGTGGTTTATTTGCACGCCATCACAAAGTAAAATAAAATTAAACAGTAAAGACGGCGCGCAAAAAGGCCAGAGCTCAGTAAGTAATATGTTCTTTGTAACAGAGAGTTTTAACCAATCAGTTGACGCCTTAATGCCATTAGGGCCTAAGATTAAGCCAACAAACATATTTAACACCAAACATCTAAAAATACATTTACAATTTCAGAAAAGCTTATACTAACCTGTAGCAAACAGCATACTATTTTCCTTGGACAGAATCAGTCCCAAATTGGTTTCTCCCTTAAAAGCAACCCTCCAATCAAGCGCTCTCCCTTTCTTTTTCACAACCTGACTCCTTCTCACTCTCAACTCCTGCTGGAACTCCTTTACTGCTCTAACGAAGGTTACGACTTTCAGGTGTAAGTTGGCACTCCATTCTAAGTCCACGTTCTCTATGAACTGGACGTCTAAGAGTGAAGAGTACTTCTCTTTCGAGAGGAGATACTCTATCCGTGCTAGTTTTACGTGGAAAAATGTTGATGGTATCTCGTCTGATCGCTGACAGTGGATGTTTCCTAGAAGAACACAAAACTTTTATAAAAGGTCAAATAAAATGAGTTTTAAGCTCAAAGAAATAAGACTTAGAGTTAAGAAGCAGACGCCAATAGCATTTGCACATGCTTAGCGCCACTATCACTATTATTCAGTATCTATACTGAATAATCTAAATCTGAAATACCGGAGAAAGCAATTATTTTAATTTCACTTTGTGTAGTCTTATATCAATAACTCAGTATCTCTTTTGCATGAAAGTCCCTTATATTGATTAACTAACTTCCGCTAGCGGCTTCGCCCGCGATTGTATAGGATAAAAATTGGCCTATGGGTTATTACATACCATAAACTACCCCTGTTCCATATTTCATCTAAATCCGATCAGTAGTTTTTGTGTAAGAGAGTAACAAACAAACACACAAACATACATAAATCCTTACAAACATACGCCGCCGTCTGTCTGTCCCTATGTATGCTTAGATCTTTAAAACTACGCAACAGATTTTGATGCGGTTTTTTTAAATAGAAGAGGGATTCTTACGGAAGGTTTATATGTATAATACATGCATATTGCGTCCGAACCCCGGACGGGTCGCAAGTTTTATAAGTAGGATAAAGAATAACTATCAAGACAAATAGAAATGTACACTCACCTTTATAAGGCACTATATCCACAACCTTCAGTCCAGAGATGACAGCACCAGATTTACTGACATTCTTCTCTAAGGTCACAGCATCGACCCTGGTCATCAGGCACATATCCTCGTTCACAATGAGGAATAGGTTGATATGAGACAAGGCCACGTTCACAGATATATTGGAGCTGGTCTCTGAGACCTCTTCAAGGTCCTGCACCATTGGTGATGAAGACTTGTACTCGTTTAGGCAGTCGGCTAGTGATATGATGGTTTGAGCTATGATAGGGCTCCATTCTAGACGAAGGCAGTCTACCATTGCTTCCACCTGTTGTAGTAATGACATGGAACATTATTTTATTATAGAAGTCTGATATTGTAGCTGGTATAAGGATATGTAGCACGGGGTCTGGAATTGTGCCCGGTATACGGCAATAGGCTCACCCCCTATTACATGGGACTCATAACATAAATAGTGACAAGTGGGTTACATAATACATTGTACAGTGGCATTAAGTGCCGTAAGGTGCACCTTCGCCTACCCTTCGGGGATGAAAAGGCGTAATATTATATGTTATCTTACAAGGATACTAGCGGACCCAACAGACGTTGTCCTGCATATCCACTTGAATGTATAAACAAAAATTCATTCAAATTAGTTCAGCTGTTTAGGATAAATAACCTAAACATCGACTGCAGCGCCATCTGCCGGGCAGATTTGTGAATCTAAACCATTCCCAGATCCCCACACACACAAAAAATTTCATCAAAATCGGTCCAGTCGTTTGAGGGAAGTTCAGTGACACACACTCACAGAATAATTATATATATAAGGATATAAGTCCGCCCCCTAAATTAAGGACTTCATAACAATACTAGAAATGTTAACATGGAATATTTCCAACCTCTTCGGGATATAAAAGGTTTAACGTCATGGTGTAGGAATTTCATTAAATAAATTAACATAGACATTTAATACATTTACAGTTAAGTAGAACATAGACCGTAACTCAAATAGGAATAAGATCTATTTTTGCTTGCTCAACACATCATAAGCAAACAACTTCACTACTTTTTCATGTTTACCTTAGAATCATTAGGTCCATGTGTAGCCCACTTAACGAGTGCCACAGCTAGTAAAGCCTCCCCCCAAGTATGGTGTCTCCGTGGTGGGGGGGAGCGTACAGTTAGTGCAGCAGGTCCACACGCCATCCACCCCCCATCCACCAGTAACTCCGCTCCCCATTGGTTACCTCCTACCGCCTGGCGGGCTACTGAACAACGGTACCATTCTTCTAGATAGAAAAAGAGAAAGAGTTCGTTGTAATTTAAATTTTATTTCCATTGGTATTAAGATCTTTTTAGAATTACTAAGATTCATCTGAGTAAATAAATACACAATAACGTTGTATATTGAATAAGGATCCACACCCAAATCTTATCGCTACAGCAAATGCATAATTATAGTACCAAAACAATAATAAATGACGTTAATTTAAATACTACAATAAAAGCATTTCAGACTTAAGTTCAGACATAGGATAAATTTTCCCACAAACCTCTAGTCTCCAACAGCTGGTCTAGTTTGACCTTGACGCCACTGCATCCGAAGCCGAGTGCGTTGTGATTGGTCAGTCGAGCGTGAACGGACACTGCACGCAACTCCGCGCACCCCTGTACTATGCACGACGAAAATATGCGGGATAGCCATATTGGCGGGGAGGGGGCTAGAACAAAATAATAATAATAAATAGAGGTTATCTTGTAAATTATTTCTCGATTATAAAATAAATAAATAAATAAAATAAAATAAAATACTCTTTATTTCGGACCAGAAGCATCCATAGGTCATTAGTAGAAATAACTTATATCTATGTTAGTACACTTTAGTAATTAATTAGTAAAAAAGTTTGCTATGCGTAAATGCATCCACGAACAACATCACCGATACCAAGATTTTTTTTTTTGTAGCAGCAACTTGATTACGTGCTACTTAGAAACTAGCTTATTGCTCTTATAGAATGGTTGAGTACATTACCTGTTTTTTTTTTAATATGATTATTTATTCAAGACAAGATATAGAACTACTTCATTGGTCAAATATCCCAAGTACGAGTTCCATAGAAGTGTTTCGGATTTTCGAAAATATATTTTATGGAGTTTAGAATCGTGCTTATAGACTCACCCTTATTTACATAGGGTGAAAAGATACTTACAAGGAGATTCCACTTCCATAATTTGCAAAGGCTGCGCTTTCCTTATTTTGTCTTTGACAGATTTGTACCATTTAAATGCGTCTGTGTGACTATAACTAATGTTCAATGTACTTATTATTATATATAGATTTAATACTCCTTTCTCCAACTGGAACACAACAAGATTATATTATTAATGGACTCAAAGTCAAAGCATTTATATCAATTAAATGGTACTTTTGAAATGTCAACAAATACAAAATAAATAATAATCTGTCAGTCAGTCCGTCAGTGAAGCTAGGTGCTCGTTCCAAAATGTAGATTCGAATGGAGAAGAACGAGGAAGAAACTCCATTCGTTACTCTTTCTAAAGAATAATTTCTTTTAACCCCTATATTTATACTACAAAAAATTATGCATGAAATAAATCTAGCCAGCTAATATTATACACCACAAAAATCGACTTTACTGCTTTTGAAATAAAAACGTCAGCTATCTATCAACCCTACAATTTCACTGTAATCTTATGGTTACGAAGACCAACTTACGTTGGTTAACTTTGAACTATACACCGTACGTCATAAAGTTGAAAACCGGTCAAACACGAACATGCCTACCTTAGCATCCAGTTTGAGCTTATTAAGAACAGCTAAAGGTAATCCGTCTGCAACTAGCTGGTACTGTTCCATCTGGAAGGCCACGTACACCTGCGGTAGACCGCTCACTTCCACGCCACTCTCATCGTAGTGGACTGATGCGGCACTGAATCTGGAGTTTACCTGGGAGAATATGAGGTTAGACAAATTTGGTTTTAGAAGCTAAGGCTTGCTTCGGCACGAATGGGCCGGCTCGACCGGAGTGATACCACGGCCTCACAGAAAACCGACGTGAAGCAACGCTTGCGTTGTGTTTCATCGTGTGAGTGAGGTTACCGGAGGCCCAATTACCCTCCCCTTCCCCAATCTCCCCAATTCCTGAATCCCCAACGATCCTCAAACTCCTAATCCCCAAAAGGCTGGTAACGCACTTGTAACACCTCTGATGTTCCAGGTGTCCATGGGCGACGCCGATTGCTTACATCAGATGATCCGTCTGAGCGTTTACCGGCTTATGCCATAAAAAAAATTGCAATGACTATTCGCTATATATTATTTTAAAATTCTAAATTATACATGCGGTATTGTTTGTTTCTTTCACATCGCAACGAAGCGTTATTCTGATATAATTTTTGTATGTGAGGATATCGTCAGGTATACATATTAGGTTTATACCTAAACCATTTTATATCCTGTATTCAGCAGGTAGAAAGCTGTTGACACGTAATTATGACGGGTTAGCTTTTTTTGTATTTTATGGGCCGACTTTTGAATATCTCGCCTGGTACTAAGCATTGATGCTGTCTACTATGGAGCAGTAGATTAGATATAACTTTAAGAATAAACATGTTACTCTTGAATAATCACTTCTGAGGTGTTTTTGAACTCCCAAACAAGTGTAGAGGACTGACAAGAAGTTTTTGACCAGGAGTAGGACTAGAGTTACAGGTGTTAATAACTTACTTGTAAGCTCTGCAAAGACATCTCGAAGTTTGTATTTACAGTTTTGTCTTTGCAACTTATTCTTGTTGAGTCTATCTTTAAACTGAAAATCTGAAACAAAATACATATATGTATTGTTATATATTAAAGTTCATCTGCACTTTCTAAGTTCATTTAGACATCACAACTGAAAATAAGCCTTACGCTGTAGCAACAAGGTGCAAAGTTTTACCTTTGGTATAACAGGTGAGAATCTCGGAATTATAGTGGCGAGATGATCCTCATCATTTACTTGTAACACCCTGGTGCGTCGGCGCTTTTTCTGGCTTTTCAAAAACTGATACAACTCATCCTTGAACGTCACTGACGTGTTACTGATTATTACGTGGATTTTCTAAAACAGAAATGATGGCACAGTGAGTATTGAAGTCTCTTAATTCAGTGGACAGACATAATTCATTGATGTTACACATTCATAATCCTGTGGAATTAGAAACAAAATGAACAATGGAAGTAAGAAAATAGAAGTTAGAAGGTACAAGCCTAATTTTTATTTTAATGTTCGTCTGATAGATTATTTTAATCATTAGACACGTATTTAATTTCTTAGAGAAACGAATACTTTCGATGATATATTGATTTGAAGTATCACGTGACGTCACTTCTATGTACATTTTATATGTGAAATGACGTTTTAGCCCCCACTTTAAACTTTGATTCGTTTTATATATAAATAAATAAAAAATATGTGTCTAATATTTTTTCATTACCTAACTGACGGACTAACTAGATTTTTAATTTTCATACCCCGTCATCATCCCAATTCGCTAAGTGTCTACATTTATAAAAAATAAAATACAATCTATACTTTTTCGAAAAAATTAACAATAATGTTTATGATTTCTATTCTTATTGAAAACATACTTTCAACCCAACTATAATGCACAATGTTATTGGATCCATCTGGAATACACAAAAAGGACAACCTACCTCTACATTCAAAGGGCCATCAGCCTTCACAGTACCCTCAATCACCAGACAGCACATGGCTTCCCCCAAACACTCCCCCTTCCCCACCACCTTCGCCTTAGCTTCTACCAACTTCGTAGAGAACACCAGCGCACGCGCAGGCCCGCCCGCAGCGCCATCTGCGTGAACTTCGGCAGCAGTAAGAGTTAAAGTCCAAGGGTTGTCTACTGTGCCACTGTGTATAGTTGCTGATGCATTAAATATATGTACACTCATGAACTGGAAGAGGAAATATATTTATTAATAATACTTGAAACTTAATATTTGTTTTAAAATAGGCTTTTTAAGGGGGAAATTATCAAATGACTTCTCCCACTTTCAAGCCAGAGCCCCGGTAACCTTTTGCGTTCTCCGCGGTGGGACTCATCTGTGGTGGTCCGCCAGCATTATTTTGAGGTCTATAGTGCTTACAAAAATGAGTAACTCTTTGGTGAGACTTCAAGAAATCTGATGAAATTTGCATGTGTTCAATAAAAATTAAAAAAATACTTAAACTGTCAAACACCAAGCGGTCACCGGTGACCGCAACCTATTGTTCTATAATTGTGTCTACAAAACCGGTACTCGACGAGTTAATAAACCTTCTTCTTATCCCAAGTGTGTAACCGACAATTTATAAACCTGTTTAATAAAGCGAAAATTGACATGCAGTTTCCTTGACAATTCTTAGACTATAGGTACAGAAAACAAGCAGGATTTTATACACATACGGTGTTCCAATGTTATATATCATTAGTGACTACATGACTCATAACTATAAACTGACAATACTAATAAATCTAATAATGTAATTGAATTAAACAGTAGCAGTATAATGATAATTATATTAGTGAGTTGCGGCATCTGTTAATATGATACAATACAGTGCTCGTATAAATAGAAATCATGCCTATTATTTTCAGTAAGGATAGGAACATGTTTGTTACATATTCAATTTTATAAGAATTAACAGAAACTGGACATAATTTGTCAAAGTCAAAGTTAAAGGATTTATTTCAATTATATGATAATTTGGTACTTTTGACACATCAACAAATAATTATATAATAGTCTGTCTGTCTATCCGTCAGTGAAGCTAGGTGCTCATTCCAAAATGTAGATTTGAATGAAGTAGAACGAGAAAGAAACTCTATTTGTTACTCTTTTAAAAAAATATGTTTTAAAATCTCTCTGATACATTATCCAATATCGTATACATATTAAGGGTGTCTTATGAGTTTCTAACATATTTGTCTTAGAAATTGGGGACTCAAACTAACTAATCTAATGTCATTACATTGGGTGAATGCATATTCATTTCATAAAAATACTCATTATGTGCTACTAGCTGTTGCCTGCGGTTCCAGATTTATCTCATGGGGGCATTTAATCAGGATAAAAACTATCCCGTCAGCCCATACCCTGTATACTAAATATCATCAAATTTATTAGTTTCAGCGTGATTGACAGACAAGCATCCAAACAAATAAACGTTCACATTTACAATATTAGTGTTTCTAAGTCATACCTGAGCAAACATAATTAAACTCGGTGGTAGTTTCTTGTCTCTAAAATCCAATAGCTTCTTATTAGCTATCCTATTCAGGTTACTCTCAAGATTATTAACGTCCGCCATCTCCTCGTAACCATCGGATCTTGCGGCGGAGTTCTGCTTCGACAGTAACGGTTTGAGGATCGTCTCCACAACAACATTCTTTTTTTCTTCCACATTGTTAGTCACTTCCACTCCTCGGATAACAACTGATACTAGTTTGTTGATATCAGAGTTGAAACAACTACTTTGAAATGAGATTTCGTCTATATGCTGCAAATAATACCAGTAGTTTTATTGATTATATTATATGTGTTTGTGTGTGTGTAGGTGTGTATTGTTTATATGGTAATAAATTTTATGATGATGATGCTATTTACGTGTGGGTGTTTTATGTTGATTACTTACTTCACCTTTATTTAAGTACAAGTTATTCTTCGTTTTACGGGGATATTGAAGATTTGTACTGTTATAATCTTATTAGACTGTTTTAAATTGTAGTCTATCATATCTTGTTAGAATCATGAGTTTCTGATTTAAATTTTAGTGTCATTTAGTTTATTTACCTATAATGGTTTTGGAACATCTGGCAAGGACAGCCAACACAACTCAAAACTAATACTACTTACGGAACTACAAATGTAAATAAGTGACAACTTACTATGGAATACCTATCTTTGGATAGGCTTACATCTTTGAGTATCAACTTTGGCACAGCGATTCTACCAATTTTCAACTTTATATGGTATTTTCTCATGAACAGCCATGCCAGTAACGTGGGTAGGAGCCTAAAAATATCCAATGTTACAGAATAGTAAACAAAACACAAAACAATAATAAAATAGCGGTGTCATCGCAGAATCCACTACTTACCATGAAACACAAGAGTAAATAACTACAAATATCAAAAATAATATCAACAGGGCGTTCATTTTAGAACGGTTAAATCATTTCGTTTAATCATTCGCTAATTAGTTGAGTAAATACGTTCATATTAGATCGAGATTCACCTCGTCTATAACCTCAAAATATAATGAAATCAACTTTCATCTCATCTGTCAATTTGGTTTCGTTCAAAAACATGTTTTCAAAAAAGAAAGAAGACTCATAAAAACATTAACATTTGAACTTTGGTCTTTGGCGCCCACATCAACCTGAAGAGAGAAAAGGCATGAATTTATGACTTTTTTAGCATTCTCAGCCATTTCTCAGCAAAACAAAATACAAACCCAGTCAAAACGGAGAAGAATTATAAAACTATAATAATACGACTAGGGGTTACCTAATAATAGAGACTACGGTTAGGCGAGATTAAACTTTATTAGACATTAGACTGTCTCGATGATCAAGTGGTAACTGTGGCAAGCACGATTGCCCAGAAAGATGGGATCTTGACTTTGATTCTCGTGTGTGAAAAAATGATGAAAATGATTTTTTTTTAAATCTCCCAGCAGCTCCATATAATGGCTTGAAGTGGAGATGAACAAACGAATCATCAATGTAAATCTCCTGGTGTTACGAAGAGTGTGCTATTATAAAAACACTAAACAACAGTCACTACACAATGCACATCTGCTCTTGGACTGTGGTTCGACTATTCAGCAACTTTGAGTAGACTTCCTCCCTCCCGCCTCACCCAGGCGGGAGCAGTCATTCGATGATTTTCCCCCCTTAAAAAAAAAGTCCTGCCCGTGGGCAGTCATAGGCTTCGATACACCCCGGCTAATAACGAAGGTAGAAAGGTTTTTAGAAACTGATAACAGATTGGTCAACTTTTTATGTGATCGATTTAGAAATTCTCAGAAGTGCTATACCTGAATTCCATAGAGTTTATGAATTTTACATTACATAGGTACAAACAATACTCTTATTTTCTTATTTTATAAGCAGTTTCAGTCTTCATGTTATTAATGAGAAGATGACAACCTGTAAAGTCCAGATCATTTTTTTTTTTAACCCCACCTGTGAATCGAATCAAAGATGGGCCTGTGATCACTTAACCAAAACTGCGACCAGGAATGTGATGAATCCGTCTATGATTTTACTGTTTATCTAACATTTGATAAATGGGAAAATAAAACATATGCACATAAGTTTAACACTTTTATTTATCAACTATACTATACAATATTTTATTTAAACTACATAAACACACTAGGGCCATGATCTCTTGGCAGAGTAGCCTTCGTACTTCTTCCTTGTCTTCAATCCAGATACAATGGTGGAACTCTTGGGGAATGCCGATACACCATCAAACATAGTATCTTTATCTGAAACAATAATGTTTATCTTGGTATTAGACAGACACAGAAATGTTATAATCTTTTCACTTATTATTACTAAATATATAATGCTAGAGTTTGTCTGTATGTTTGTATCTTTGAATGCACCAATCACCAGAAATACTGGTCTGAATTGAATAATTTTCTTTGTGTTAACTCGTCGAGTACCGTCATTATAGACACAATTATAGAACAATAGGTTGCGGTCACCGGTGACCGCTTGGTGTTTGACAGTTTAAATACCCTATAGGCTATAAAACATCACTCTACGATACTACAATAGGCACAGAGCAGAGCAGATGAAACCAGACCGGATTCGCTAGTAACTTTAATAACATACAATTACATAGTCTACAGTAGTTTTTGATTAGTGCAATATATAAAATCTTGATACAGGGTTCATAAAAATTTTAAAAAAACATCACAATTAGTTCAGTTTGTTCAAAACAAACTTTATATTCTATTGACATTATTAGATTCCATAATACTTAGTGAAATGCAAATGTTTTTACCTGGATGGAATCTGACATAGTCTGGCTGTACATGCAAGTTTTTGGGCAGTTCCATTCTCTTCAGAGCCTCAAATGGTGTTGCCGTATCCACAGGAGTCTTATAAAATTGTTTTAGATCAGCTGCAAAATAATAAATAAATAGAGTAATTACTGAATAGAGTTTCAGTTTAAATATGTATTTGGATTTTTAATAGCTTGGATTTTAATGAACTTGTATGTTTGTAAACGCACCCACGACACAGGAGAAAATCCTAGTGTGGGGCAATGTTTTTTTTTAAAAAAAAAAAAAAAAATAATACTGCTATTTATATGTTTAAAAGAGGCTGAACATACATACTTTAATTTAAAAATGACCAGCCAAATGTTGGTACATATGTATCAGAAATAAAAAAAACCATTTCATTGCATATAAAACTATTTTTATGTTTTAGTTGTGACTCGAGTTGTAGCTTACATAAGAGTTTTAGAAACAATAAAAACACAAAGAAAGGTGGATGTACTATGTGTATAATAGTACAGATTAATTGTATTGCATTACACAATGAAGTTTTAACAGGTCAGAATTTTGTCATACATACCAACACTCCCAATGGTATGCAGTAAAGAATTGGGCACATCATATCCGGTCTCCTCATAACATTCCTTAAGTACCGCAAACTTAGTTTCCAGTGCTTCAAACTCAGCATCAGTGTTCAGACCTTTCGATGAACAGATTTTAGAGATTGTCTCTTCAATGTTTGCCGGTGGATCCCATGGTTTTGTTGGTCTCAGGAAACTGGAAAATAATCACAATTATAGGTATGTAATCTTACAAGAAAAAGGTTTTAAACTGTCAAACACCAAGTGGTCACCGGCGACCGCAACCTATTGTTCTATGATTGTGTCTATAATGACGGTACTCGACGAGTTAAGAATAATTATATTATAAAACTTGATTCAACTCTGTGTAAAGCTATTCTCATGTTATTTATCGGAACGATTATTAACGATTTATTTAAATTATTTATTTTATGTTGTGCTAGTACACTGTTATTAATTTACATAGATATAAATTTATTTAATTTAGCCTGTATAAAAAGTACACTAACGCACTTTATTGAATAGGTTTAAGTATTGCGTTATTAACAGGTACTGCAATAATACATAAATAATAATTAGCTATAATAGACACAATAGCAAAATAATATATTGACTTACTGACCCTCTGGCAGCTAAAGATTCTGCAGCTGCTTGAAACTTTTTGTCCACTTTTGGGAATTTTTTCTGCTTATATCTGACTGGTATAACCTGTAAATTAATATAATTGTGATAAAATAACTAAAACTTCGATTTATTTCCTACATTAGAAGTAAGGTGTGCAAAAAATAACCTGTAAATGTTTCCGTGGTACCGTACATAACACATTTCGAAACATTTTATTTTAAAATTACGGTTAACTTGGTAGATAAAGAGGTTTTTAAGGTAATAATAACTAAAATAATTGAGAAATAAATTATTATAACTGCTATTATTATAACCCGACTCCAGTTTGACAGATCCACAAAAATTCTTTACACGCACGTCTATGCAGTATCAAATGATTCAATTTCTATTTTAGAAGAAATGATTAATCGTATTTAACAATTATTTAGAAATATAAAAAACATACTTGTTTTTTTCCTTATTATCTAAAAATTAAAATCTGTTTGCCTAAATCTTGAAGCTATGAATGCGAAAATATTGAGTTATAACCATTAAATTTCATTTAAAGCTTTTAAAATTCTTATTGTAAATTATTTTTATATAATAATAGACAAAGATAACTATAATATCATTATCGATAATTTAATGAAGACAGCAATAAGTGAAACGGAACGCATCTACGTTTCTAGACGAAATTAGTTTCTGTCTTCAACCGCTTGTGGCAGCACTGTCGGCTTGGGTTGTTGTTTCCTATCCGCCATTTTCCAGTCGCCATTGAAAGGTGAAAACTTCACTAAATGTCGGTGATGATTTTAAGATTTTGAGTGGTTTCTTTAAGATTGAACCCGTTATTAGTGTTGTGAAATGAAAATGAAGTGCCCCGGACTACCATGACGCATCAAAATCACCAAACAAACGGTGCAAGTCTCGAGGATTGCCACACGAACTTCTTCGCCTTGGTAAGTCACTTTTACATTGATGAAAGAACTCGTATGTACTTTTCTTTCGAAATCATTACGATTTACGTGGTGTTAGTATCGTGCGCTATTGTTCTCAGGTGACCGTAGCATGTTTAGTATTTCCTAAATAATGAGTCCACGACGTCCTAAGTAGACGATGTGATGTGATTATCGTTAGTGGACGCTGATATACAAAATTCACCTTATTGCGCTACAACTGCCGAATCGATCTATTGCGTTAAAGTTTTTGTATAGGACAATTTACGTTTAGGCGGCTAATGACGGTTGCCCGTTAGTCATCCTGGCATCGTTCTCGCCACAACTCAGAGTCATGTCATGTTGCTAACCCACAAAATGTCAACGCATTCGGCGAGCGAGGCCACAAGAAGCCACCGGCCCATAGAGGTCATTTTGAATTCACCTGGCCGTAACGCGGACCGTAATGCGTTCGCGAGACTAGTTTCGCCAGGTTGAGGAAATAACTTTCTTAATACATTTTTCGCTTCGTACCGTTCGAAAATACCACTCAATGTAGAGACATGAGGAGTAATGTTTATGTGCGTGTTAAAAAAAACTGTCGGGTCATTCATTATCGCAGTGTTGTAGTGTTGAGTAGCTTTGCGTAATGTTCATAGCTGGCGCGAATTTTATCAGATTGTGTTCGGGTGAGGATTAGCGGGTGAGGGGCGGGCGTGCGGGGCGCCGGGGGCGGTCGGTCGTCCTCGGCGAGAAGCGAGCACAGCACGGGCGCCACTTCCACCTGACGCGTTGCCATATCTCCGCGGCGGCGCGCGCCTGCCTGCACCCGTCTCCCTCTGCGCTCCGCCTATCTCGACGCGATACAAATTACCGATTTCTTGCCCTGCCTGCTTATTGTCTAATTATTTATGCGCCGTTTGCGGACATGACTGCTTTAGTCGCGTGGAATTTTTTCTCGTCCACATAGGCGGTGACGCATCGGGTGCTACTAGGTGTCGCGTTTGGGTTCAATACACTTTACCAGGAACATTGCGCAAAAAGATGCTTGCAATCAAATTGGATACCATGCAAGTTTGAAATTTATTACTGGTTATCAAGCAGTAAATGTGCTCTGGCTCTACGTCTGTTTAGTTTATGTTGAGGTATGCGCGGCATCTGCACGGCAACTTCACAGATGTCGCGGGACTCGCGGGGTCGGTGCGCGCGCGCTCGCCGGCTGCGCAGGCGTCTTGCGCTCATTCAACCGTTTATGAATGGTCGTAATGATTGTAACTTTCCCATAAGCGGGCCTCCGCCCAGGCACCAGTTGCGTGCACTCTGATTATCTAGGTAGTTGATGGACGTCTTTGTTCTTACCTGTTTACGCTTTGTCTTATAAATTCTTGTAATGTCATAAGCAGTATGTCGTAGCTATGACTTTATCTTGACCATTGTTTACCCTTGACGTACAAGACTGAAGTGGCGTTAATCGTTCGGTTCATTGCGCAAAAATATCTATGAATAATATTTGGAAACAGTGCGGACACATGAATGTTCATTAAGTTTTTGGTGTACAAATAGAAAATAGTCAGTTAATTTTCTAGGGGAATTTTACAAGGCGCTATTGTCTCTGAATTCCTCGTACATGCATGACGGCGATGTCCATTGAGTGTCGAGATTCTACTCTAAGTTATTCATAGCATTTGACGAACGCGACATACGAACCGCGGCTCTGCCCAACACCCCTTATCACCCTCTGTGCATACAGAGCACGACTTCAATTTTATCCTGAATGTGCTCATTCCTTCACTGTTATGATTCTGCCCAGTTCTAGGTCACGTAATTTTTACGTTGTGAGGAAGCTAAAGCTCACTGTACATAAATCGTGTCTAATTGATACTGATCTGTCTCCATCAACCGTGTAATTAACTGTTTAACTATATTAAAACAAGTTGCTACCGTTTCAGTGGCAATAAAGTAGGTAGCTAAATATCTCCTTATTTTACGTCTAAAAAGTGGCTCTACCACTAAACTTCCTTAATGTAATCAACCTAATTACAACACTGTTATAATGAATGTCTGCTTTTCTGCTTTTTATACGCCATAAATTCTTGTATGATGCTTACGGCCATCATAAATTTATTACCAAGGTTGTTCTTTAAATATTAATTAAATTTTCACTTTCATCTTATTGAAAAAATTTCCAATACGTTAATGAGATGAAAACGAATCATACACTCCTTGGATTTCCCTCTGAAACAGCAAAAACAACAAGAAATTCCACATAATCTCGTCATTATAATGTTTCGAAAAAAGAACAAATCCAGAGTTCTTGGAAAACTCAAGGTCGTTACATCTACCTCAATGCAGAACTAGTCAACTCTGAGTGAATTTAAACTTGGAATCAAATTCAATAGTGTAGTTGTAGAATTCCATTGTTAATATTAAAATGAAGGTGACCTTACAAGTTATTAAACGCTTCATTTATGTCTGGCGGGTCACTGAAGTATTTAAAAGTAAACTGCGCTCGCGCACACTGGAGCAGTCAGTCCGGCGTTGCTAAATCCGGTTTATTGTATCTTAATTATGTATTAACTACTTACGTTACAACGTTACGCACGCTTTGAGCATGTAAATGAGTTCAGACAGATTCGCTTCGTCCAGAATATATTTTTGACATATTATTTAACAAATATTTATACAGTAAATTACATTTAAACAAAAATGAAATGATTTAATACAAGTTAAAACGGGTTTTAAATATTGAAAACTGAAAATATTGTGTAAATTAGAAACGAACTGTAAGTTTTGTTATGTCGCGGGGGTCGTTATCTATCAGCTGATAAGTTATCACACTCACACGGTATCAAGGTTCCAACGAGAGCGGTTGGTGCTTCATGCCACTATCAGCCACCACAACAGTGAACGATTAAAAGCTTTGAAAGTCACTGACGGAAATAGAGATTGACACAAAAGTCGTAAAAAAATGAGTTGTAATGGAAAAAAAAATTACGATATCTGTCTCAAAAATGTAATCATGAGTTAGTAGTATTGTCTTGAGATCAAGATGATAAGTAAACATTGATGATACTGTACATGCAATCATGTTACACAATACGATGGTATAAAATACATATCATGTGGATCGATGATAAAGCACATCATTTACTCGATCAAAAAGGTAAGTCTGTATTACAAACAAATTAGTAAGGCGTCGATTTCGGCGAATACAACCCTTTGGACCCTCCGGACCTGAATTCGCCAACCGAAACCATAATTGAAAGCCGTTTTCTGTTTATTTTGTAACCAATCGTAGTTGTTTACAATGCGGCCGGCTATATAATGCCACATTATCACGCGTGATAAGCGAACAGTTGCGGCGGCGGTATCTCACGCTCCTTCAACACTTGAAATTAATATGACGATTGCTATATTCAATGAAAAGGGAAATCAGTGTATGACGACGACTAACCTTTAAGAATTAAAGGACGTATCGCAACAGACGCTAAAGGAAATATAATAATATGTTATTTACTAAAGGAAATAATATCTATGTGACGCGTTCTACATGAGAATGACGCACTGTTTATCTCGAGATTCGAATGACCTCAGTCTGGAAAATGCCAGATAATTGCAGTAACTAGTGCAGTACTGTGCTTAATAAGTCCCGTTCATCGCGTAGATGAGTGTAATGCTTGTGGGGAAATGCAATATAACACCCACACCAATGACTAATAAAATAGTGCTCACACTTTCCTGGGATCTGTTTCATGTAACTCTATATTGCACCATGACTCTTGTTGTATTATAGTCATAACTCCCCCATGGTCACTCATTAAATATGCTTTTAATATTGGGTGTATCTACACTACAGTAACAACCCACACCACAACTTTGAATCATCATTTTGAGTGCACAGCTGACATAATTTCATATGACCATGACATACCAAGTGGCTTTAAATTCCTGACTGACCCTGCCTTATCAGTTTCGTATCGATTTGTTTATCAGAAATATCAATGTAAGCATTTTATTATAGAGGTAGTATAAAACCTAATTAAATGCATTCACGTGAAGGTTGGTCCTTGAAGTGAACGTTCGTCCTTCACAGTACATATTGTCCTTAATCAAAGCTGTCGGTGCCACAACGCGAGTGGGTACTTTATTTAACCTACATTGAAGAGAAAGGTCCATGTTACCAAGTCAATTTTCGAGTTAACGCGTAATCGAATTACTCCATTACTTGATGACCTTGTTTTAATTGGAGTCGGAATAATAACGTGTAAAATGATTTCCATACACGTAAATAATAATTGTAGATAGATAATTACTGCTATATGGATATCAACAGTGTTTTGAACTAGTAATACTTAAAAATGATGTCATATGTTGTTCAATTACATAAGCAATTATTTGAAATCTAAAAATACCTACTTGAGAGATTTATTATTTCTTTTTTGACTAATATTTAGGTAGCAAACAAACGTTTGCTCATAAACGAACCTAAAATCCGGCCATCTAACACATGGACGAAAATAAAATTGTGAAGGACGCTCAAATATTTATATTTATAAAATGAAACCAGTCTTAAATGCTCAGACGATGTGACATCACTTGATGCGATCCTGACAGCATCTTTGTAACGTCCTTTTCCTCTTGTTACGAACCACATTCTGGGTCAAGGTTCTGTTTTGATAATATTGTCACGAGGAAAAACATTCGCTCTTTCTCATTCACTTGCGATCTTGATTTAACCATTCGTTCACTTAAATTGGATTCTTGCAATTTAATGTTTCTCTTCATTTTTATGTCCTAGGAATATTGTTACACAGTTTATGAATGTGCTTTCGTCATGTTTGGTTTTAGTTGCAAAGTTTGGATTGGTCTTAATTTGGTACTTTTTTGGTGGTGTGTTCTCACTGTCGCCCTTTCGAATTTCTCGATATTTTCCATCGGTGGGCAATTAAGGTGTTCCGCTATAATAGCGGCGCGGTCCGGCCGCGACCGCGGTCACGATATGTGGGTCAAGATAACAGAAGTGC